TGGAGCATTGCTCTTGTGCGACTTTAAACAGAAGACAAATAATGGTTCTCAATTGGGGTTTAATATTAAGAGCCTGGAATACTGTATGTACTCCCATTCAAGGAAACAGCTGCCTAACGTCTAATCTGGGAACTGAGGTTTCACTGCTGTACACGTGTTTTTATCAGTGCTGCTGTAAACCAGGACTATACAATAGCAGATGCTCACATTTCCAAAGAGCGGCCCAGATGAGGTACCAATCAGAACTGAAGAGCAGCCATCTTAAAATGGGAAAACAGAATCCACATCTACGTCAAAATGGAACATAACAGACAGAGTACTAGATTGGCCCGAATGAGGATGGTGAAATGGGAAGCTACTTCAGTCTGAAAAAAGGTTATTGACATTTGAGACGTGCTATAAAATGTAAGCCTTTCCAGAGTACAATTCCCGAGTCACCAACCTCTGAAAAAAGCAAAGCAAAATCACACATAAACTCCAACATATTTACAGGAGCTCCAGTAAATATTTGCACACACTGATGTGCATACAACAGTGTTCAACTCAATGGGAAATGAGGAAATAAAATTCCATTCACGCATTGCAGTAGAAGTGCTCAAAGAAATGCAAAAATAAAAACATGCCTTAATATACAGCAGGAATGAACAACTGCAGTCCTCAACGGTCATAATCCTGGTCAGTTTATTAATATTTTTAAACAAGCATCTACTTAAGACCTGAAAACCCATTGGGAATGTGGATTCTTATTCATTAGTGGAATTGGGTCTGCTATGGACGGGCATCCTGTCCAGAGTGTATCATCCTTGTGCCCATTTCTTGCCATGATAAGCCCAGGCTCCCCCATGACCCTGAATTGGATAAAGCAGTTAGAAAATTGGTGGATTGATGGATCATAAAGATCAGAGCTGCAGTGGAAAACAGATGGTTGTGTGGCTCGTATGGACTGCAGCTGCTCCTCCCTTTATCACAGAAGACAGTATAAGATCGATTGTTTCTATTTGGTACTGTATATTAGAAATGACACAGGCCCATGTTTAACTGACCCATGTTTTCAAATATTTGCATGTTTTTTAAAACAGATTCCAGATCTACACAAACACATTATCTATATGTTAAAAATTAATGATTTGAAGATGTTACAGTTTTAAAATTCATATCTCATTTGCCTGAAGATTATTCCAGATGAGAAATGAAGCACTTATCCAAATTGGCCCTCTGAGGGGACCAGTATCAGAGCTCTCTGTGGACTCAGGCAAGCCAGGTTCAAATTTTTTTTCAAGTCACAACATATTAGCAATAACCAGAACTCTTCTTTTTAACAGGTAATCCTAAAAGTAAATTTTCCCAAAAAATAGTTGATACTTCCCAATAAAAAATATTTTGGGTTGTGTTACAGTGTTAAAAAAATTACAAGCAGGTCTTGACAAGTTCAATGATAAATCTTTGTGTACATTGAAAGTAGCAGCATACAAATTCATATTTTTTTACAAATCTTACTGTAGAAATAACAGTCTCACAATAACTTATAACTTATTTACCAGAGGTAAAAAAATAGTAGCTTTGAAGAAAAATATGGAACTGAATGTACAACTAGATTTCTGTAGCCTAATGTGGGCAGACAATCAATCACTCCAATACGAATAATGTCACGTGCGGACACAGGGAGACCTTGTGCATACTTTGGGTTGTGGCAGCTGACTATGTACAAATTCTGAGGCCAGTTTATTTTGTCTGAAAAGTTTGCTTTAACCTCTGTTCATAGAACAAAATAGCAGTTTTTTCTGCTAAGCATAATTTTCCTCCTTGCCTTTATTACAAACTGCAGTGACATGATTAATTTGTTTGCATATACGTTGTGTATATATTATAAATATTAGGCTGCATGCTAGACAACATACTGTAGTTGTTCAGATCAATGAATCCGCACATCTGCGATATTTCTGTTAAGTTACTTAACTTGAGCGATCCATGCATTGAATAATTTAATTCAGTTTTTAAAAAGTAAAGATACACAGCTTACGTCTGCTTAATCTGCCTTCTCCCTCTTTGTTTTAATCATAAAGTTTTTGGTATATGCAAAGCTACATTTTCTCTCAAATTTGGAATGACCCTGGCTCAGTGACAGTGACAGCTGTGAATATTTTTATTTATTTATGCGTTTGTAATTTTGACATTTTTGTCCTGCTCTGAGCGTTTAGAAAAATGTGGGCAGATGTCGGAGCGAACTATGTTAACCTCAGCAATCATCAAGCCGGATGCCAGCTAGGGAGAACAGTAATTGTATCTCATTAGTTTATCCTGAACTTTGCACAATAAATTGTCATTGCTATATACGGATGTCAGGATTCCCTCTAAATGAGATGTTACAGCTGCGTTGCACCTATTATAAAAGACAAACCGAAGACAAAGATACAGTTGCAAGAATTGCTAATCACATAAGCCAAAGAGAGGTTGATTATAGTACTGTACGTACTTTACTCACATACAGATGGCTACATGAATGAAGATTTCTTAATTATTTCTTAATTTTCTGTAGTTGAACAAACACAGTGCCTTACAATTGTTGTAACCTACAAAGAAAAATATATTTTCATAAGCCTGGACTATTATTTTGAAAAAGTACTTTGTGCCAGAATGTAGAAAACTTAAAGCACCATGACAGGACAATATACATTTTAAAGTGGTAATACTATAGAACACACTATATTAATTATGTAAGAATATTTCATATTGCTTTTTTGGAGCTTTCAGAAAAAGTTGATACATAGAAACAACAACAATGGTTAAAGCAATCTTCTAAATCTAATAATACCAAAACGTACAGTCTCAACAGTAGATGGTTACTTACAGTATAGCATGGGCGATCCCAGATAGACGTTTTTCCTTACAAAATGTCAAGGCCTTTATTCCGAGAACAGATATTACTGCAGTTGTTTCCAAAAGCTACCATCCTTGACCTGCGATTGCTTTTAGATAGTTATACAAGACAGATAATAGTTCAGCATTACGAAATATAATTGAAAATCATTCCATCCATTACTGGAAAGCTGCTTATTCCTGGTAAGAGTCACAGAAAACTATTTCCTATCCTGGAGACATACAGTAGGATACAAGGCAGGACTACAGCTTGGCTGGGATTTCACTCCATGTCAGGGTACCTACACACAATTTAGAGACCATTAGAGACAATTTAAAGAACAGTTTAGGGACACCAGTTAATCTAGCTAGCATATCTTTGGAGGGTGAGAAGGAAATCGGACCACTTTGAGACAACCCACATGAATACATGCAGAAAATGGGAACTCCACATAAATTGGGACCCCATGACCCAGAGAAAGTGAGACAGTAGTGCTAATCACCATGCAATGCCATGCCATCTACCACTGTGTCATCCTTCTGTATTATTATTCAGGAAAGTTTAACAATATCTCAAGAAAATACTTGTTTCAGTAGTGTACCGTATAATTAAACCATGTCAATCACAGTCCTAACTGATTAAGAATAATGACAATGTTGCTTAAAAATAAACCCCACATGTTCCTGAGTACATTATTAGAGCAGCAAGATACTGAATGTCATGGCTAATACATCACTGAAAAAGATTTATTACCTGATCTAAGAATGCAATTCCATGTTTAGTCTTTGTTTTCACAAGTCTAACAAATCTAGAACTACAGTAAACATACTTGGTGTAATAATTACAGAGGTTTGTGAAAATGGTTGATCCTGGGCTGTCCATAACAGCTTTTTTCTGTTACCTCTGTCATATCTGAGACAAGAAGAAGGTATGTTGTAATTTTATTCCCTACCTTTAAGTTGCAAGGACATGATCACACATAGGTATGCAGGAATTTGTTTATATTACATATATATACCTTGTTTTCTGAGGATAAATATTCTGCATTCTTTAATAAGTAAGCATATGTTGTTTGTGGTAAATTAAAAGCAAATGTAGTATTTTAATTTTACAAGTTATTATTCATTGAAAATAGAATTTGCTTTTTTCCAAGCTAGAAGTGTTTCATTTAAGACACTTACTACATACTTTAGAAGATGCTTGACGCATACTAATATTGTAAAATGTTGCATAATGTGCCATAAAAACAAAACTTCGCAGGTTCAGTACAGAGCGGCTTACAGTGTAATGAAAGCTAAATGAGCTAAGGCCCTTTATTTGTACCCTGTAATTCATTTATGTTTGCAGAATTATAAGGAAGCGTAATGGTAACTCGTAGTCCTTGAATTTTGCCTTTGTTCTTCACCCCTTCATGAAAAAATACAATCCTCTCTGTGTTGTTTTGAATAGCTATGCATTTTAAAAATGTCTCTGAACACGGTGCTATGATGCAAGCTGAAACTAATGCTGAAACCTAACTGATCCAGGGAAACAATAGCTAGTCTGGGTAGAATCTTTTGACGTGTTCATTTTTTACTGATGCTAATAACAACATCATGCACTACATCTGACTTGTAGAAAAGGAATCCGATTAGCTTGCTAAATTATCATGGCAATGAAAGAGAAAAAGATAAAAAAGAGACTGCAACGTGTCTGACACAGCACACAGACATGAAACACTTGGCACATTCCAGAACAGAATGCTTAGCATCACTATGGTCAGGGATACTCTGAATGAATCCTCAATTCTGTGGTGCAATTGATCTCAAAGACTTCTACAGTGTGCTTAATGAACCCTTTCCAATGTGAAGAATAATTTTGCTTTCCATTTTTTCGGGCATCTTTAGCTGGAAGAGATAAGCGATGACAGCTGGAGCTCTGTCTGTGACTCGTTTCGAAAGCTTTTCCTTTGTCCAGGGAAAAAAAAAAAATAAACAGAAATGGCAAGGCCGTTCAGAGTCTGAATTCTCTGTATAACATTGAGCTGACTGAAAACAGGCATAACCCAAAATATTTTTCAACATAAAAGGGAGGGACATGAGGTTAGAATTTTGAGTGCAAAAACACATTCAGTACATGCTTGATCAAAGAGGAACTTGCTTACCAGTTGGAAGCTTGTCCGAGTTGTCCCTCAGCCATGCAAACAGGTTGGAAAAGTTACAGTTGCACACCCAAGGGTTGCCTTCCAGCCTTACTACCCTCAGAGAGGGCAGCTGGCTCAGGGCCGCCACCTGCAGGCCGGACAGGGCATTGCGCTCCAATTCCAGCTCACGCAGAGAAGTGAGTCCAAGAAAGGCGTTCTCGTTGACCGTAGTCAGGTAGGGGTTGTTGCCCAGGCGGAGTTTGATCAGGCTGCGGGACTCCCCAAACGTCCCAGCAGCGATCTCGGTCAAGTTGTTGCAGCCAAGGTCCAGAAACACCAGTCTGGAGGAAGTGCTGAGAGTTCCAGGTTCGATGCATGACAGGGAGTTGTTCCGCAGGTCCAGGTAGACCAGATCGCTGTAGAGCACTAGAAAATCTGAGGGGATCTTGGGAATCCAGTTGTCTGACAGTAGGAGCCTCCGGACGTCCAGGGGGATGGAAACCGGCAGGCGGGTGAGACCCTGTCCACTGCAGTCGACTGTGTGAGGGTCCGGGCAGAGACAGCTAGCTGGGCAGTTTTGCCCCCAAGTCAGTAAGGCAGAGGAGAGCAAGACGATGAGAGGCTGAAGCCAGCGGCAACATGGCAACATTGTCAAGGGGGTCAAGGGGAAAGGGAATTTGGGTGGGGGGGTCGGGAAAGGGGG